TCCTGCTGGCATCTGTCCGGCGGGCACGTGTCCTAGATTCCAATTCATCTTTGTTAAAAATATACACTATTTATATTTGATGTTAATATATCAATAACATGATCATGTTTTGAATATTTAACATATAAACATAATATAACAGAATAACTAAATAATCATTTAAATTAATTTTAATATAATTATTAATAAAATTTTCTAATCATATTTTGATATATAAAATGATAGAAAATTAATATATATTGATTTAGAAGCATTTTTTTTGTATTATAAAATAATTCTTTAATATTATCAATATGTTATAAATATTCACTATCACTATGAATATAATATATGTTTTTGATAATAGAGATTCTCTTCTTAAATTACATAATTCACCTTTTAATAATTATATATTAACACATGAACATTGTATATCTTCTTCAAGTCTATTAACGTTTGTTTTAAGAGATTTATTTTCTAAAAGTAATTGTACAATTCTCTAAGATTGTCTAGTATGTTTATTTTCTAAAGATTTAATATTTGAATATTGATTTGTTGATATTGAAATATAAGGTATAGATAGACCCCTACGGGGTATGGGTAACCTGCCTTATCAAAGCAGGGTCAGATTACAAGATTTTTTTTTTAATAGGGTAGGGTACAGATTGCTGAGATCGTAACCTGTTAACCTGCAATAGAAATGTTGTCGGTCAGCATGCTTAGAATATTTCAAAGAATAAGATAAGTAATTATGAGCTAGATCAAATTATTTACATACATTTTTAGTATGAAGGGCAGTGTTTTATGCGGGGGGGTGCGCGGGGGCCCCCCCCCCCCCCCCCCCCGAAAATCGAGTTCGCCCCCCCGAAACTTGTGATCATCGTGCTATGAACACGTGGCTTGCCCCCCCGAAATTCCAAATCGCCCCTCCGGAAAAAAATCCTGGATAAAACACTGATGAAGGGTAATAATGTTTTATTTCTCGTTTGGATAATTCATGCTAGCACAAAACACCAGCATGTGCTCGTTTTTTTTCTTCGTTTTTTTTTCATTTAAAAGCTTTAATTTTCTCAAACTAAGCATTCCACAAACTATTCGTGAGTGTTTCCAATATTAGTACATTCGTATTGAAATGGCTCTACATGTTACTTTGATCTATATCTAATCTAAGTTTTCAATAAAAGCAGAAGAATGCAGTAAGAGACAAAATAGTTTCATTTTGATTTGAATTTTATAAGAAATAGTAATAGTAGAATTTCCATTAGATTTCTGTTCTATGGTATTGTTTATGTTGTTACTCAATTATTAGTATTATTTATATTATGGATTTGATTATGGATTATATTATAATTAGATTACTTGATGTATTTTGGTTATATACCGATGATGACCGCTTTCAACAGCTTGTTACAAACAGTCAAGGTCGAAAATTCTACTATTACTATTTCTTATAAAATTCAAATCAAAATGAAACTATTTTGTCTCTTACTGCATTCTTCTGTTTTTATTGATAAATGAAAACGAAACTTGAAAAAATTCTAGTAAATCTATTCGATTTATTGTCTATAGATGATTTTTAATTATATCAAATATAAAGATGCTTATGAAAAAAATCTATAAAAAAATGTTAACAAAATGATTAATTAATCAAATACGTATTTTCTATGATTATGAATAGTCAAGAATTTTAGCATTAAAAGTAAAATAAAATATCACTTTTTGTTTTTATTTTTTTTTATTTAGCAATATTCTTCCTAGCAAATATGTGATTCACAATATACATTAAAACTTAAACAAATACTTAAAGATACTACTATCCTTTTTAAGGGATTAATTTTTGTTTATTAGATAGTCTCTCTATAATAATATTGACAAATAATTCATGTACATTATCAATTTCTTCAAATATCTATCCTCCTAATGAAATACGTACATTCTCCTGTTTACTAATTTTTTTTTTCGTTTAATCTTATATTCGATAGTTTTAATTTTATTCTTAAGATTAGAACAATCGAAAGTTAAATTTTGTCTTTAATTATTCTATAGGTCAATTAGATACCTATTTTACTAAAGAAAAATTTATTTCAAAAGTAAAAAGTTTATTTTATTTTCTTATAATTATAATAGGTAAGTATTAATGTATCAAATGTAATACAAATCTTAAATAATTTAATTCAAGTAAAATTATTAATATGTCCATAAGTTCATAATAAAAAAATTTGAAAAAGAAATATTTTTATATAAATTATGAGGTTCAATTAGTAAATCAATTTCAAAGGTCCTAATATTGTAACCTGCATATAAGAAGTCTTTACATAACATCTCTATTCGATTTTCGTCCACTTATCGATTACAAAAAAATAATCGGTGAGAAGCAGAATTTGATACTCTTTCTAAATATATCTTTGGAATTTTTGCTCTAACTTACGACTCGATAAGTGTTTTGTTTTTTGGTTATTCCTAATTTCTCTACAGAGTATTTTGGGATAGATTTTATCTCCTACATTGTAAAGAATTTAATGCTCTACAAACTGATGGACTGTAATAGACTACAACTCAAAAGACTTAGAAACTATAAACATTTTTCTAAATAATCGTTTTTTTATTGCGAATTTTCATATTTAAAAAACAACAGATTCTGATAGTTTGCAATAATATTTAGGAAAGAAAGCAGATAACAAATTTTCTATGGCAAAATGCATTCTACAAAATGGTGAAGAAGAAAACTTTCTTATGATTCAAATTGAGGTAGTTTTCATCAAAATACAGAAATGGACTACATGAAAAATTCTGTAGAAGTAGTGTTTCTGGCTTTTAGCAAAGTTTGGCTCTCAGTCAATTAACTATAAGTCAGAAAATTAGAAATAGCATCAAATTTTGATTCTCATCGACTCCTTTTTTTCTTTTTTGCAACCGATTAATGGATATTCAGAGTTACTGATAAAGAGATCCACGTATGAAAGTCTCGAACTAACAAATTTATTCTGATCGTCAAAATTCCAACTTTGAATATTGAGTTGACATTTTTCTCAGCGTATAATGAGGAATGCTGATCATGCTGCATGAATTTTTTATGATCATAAAAAGCTAGCCAACCATCAAAAGATAAATTCCATCTAAACTAAAGGACTTTCACCTCGAAATTTTGACTTCACTTTTCTATGTAACTTTTAACCAACAGTTACAAACTCCGAGTAGCTAGTAGTTTCCAATTCATACTTTGGTTAAAAAAGAATCTCAGAAAAGATCGTTTTTCTTATAAGAATTCTAAACATACGATCCCAGTCATAAAAACCACATTTTTTAAAACTCATTTTGTCTCCTTATCGATAGTACTAGTCATATACGAATTAACAAGTCTTTCATTTTTATTAAATAATAATTTGAAATAAGTTTGGTCAAATCACTCGTTGTGAGTTTGTGCAAAACAGTTTTCAAAGAGTTTTTCCTTCGTTCTTAATATTAACGTATATGAGGCACGATAAACTAAAACAAAAATTGTTACTATTAAAAACTAGGGTGTGGGTGGGGGTCAGACTTTGGATGAAAACATTATCTATATTCATAGCCACATCCACACCCTTCATATATGTTTCCTCAACAAGAAAGAAGAAATTTCGCAATCAAAATATCTTTGCATCAATTCCAAAAAATAATTGTGTCACCAAAAAAACAAAAAAGTTATCTACTTCTGTAATATGATATCTACACTCATATCTATTTAGTTTTTTAAATCTTCTCCTTTTTTTGTTATTGATCAACCTTTTATTTGGAAAAGTGAGTAGTTCAATTAAGAAATAGTATTATCAAATGAAATTTTTCAACCATGTTTCTGGATATGCAAATCTTAGGCCAATATATAAATTAGCTTGAGCCATTACTAAATTTCTATTAGTATCAAAAAATATCCAAATTAGAACAATGTATCATATTTATTCCATATAGTGTGTATCTGAACAATTTTCCTATTCCATTATTTGAATTTGTTTTCTTAACAATGAATTGAATCTTCTAGATAGAATGTTTCTGGAACTAGATAAAATGCGTAAATTTTTAGATAAATTTTGCTTTTTACATGAGAAGCAAAGTATTACAAGAATATTGCTTTTCTATAATGAATCACGTCATTCTATCTTCAGAGTACAAATTCAACTAAAATGTTACTGTGTCACTACGTACTTTTATTGTTTTCTCTGGAAAGTTTACTGTTTCAGTACAGAGTTTACATCGAATGTATTTAATTTTCGTTGCAACTTATTGTCAAATATTTATGAAACGTTTAATGTTTCTGTCTTGCAAATTTATTTGAGCTTCACCTATCTCAAAAAAACCCCAAGTGTTGATTGCAACAGAGCTGAAAAATTATTCAAAAAAAAAAATAACAAACCTATTTCGTGGGACATTTTCTATCAGTATAGAGTTGTATATACCAATGCAAAACATACTCTGTCAATTTTCATTTAACAAATGTACTTGATATTAATTCTAGCACTGAACGTTGCAATCGTTTCTATAAAATTTTTGTTGACACGTTGCTCAAACTGTGAAACAAAAAATTTAGGATGCTTTCAGTATAGCTTCTAATTTCTGTTTCTATATATACGCATCAACATTCATGTTTCCGTCCTTTTTTTTATATTGTTTTTAACTCAAAATATGTTGCTCTAGCAGGTCGATTTAGCTATCAATCCGCACGTTTTCGTCATTGTAACTTGTACTTCATCAGAATTTGTTCTCTTTTATAATAGTTACATTCAATTTATAAAATAATATTCATGTTGAAATGGAAAAAAAAACTATACGAGTGAATATCTATGGACGTTCTTTTTTTTTACAGTCACTTTTTCATCATTTCCTAATTTACGTTTATTATTTACAGTTGGTTGAATTTCTTTCGATTTAGGTAAACGCTCACTTGGATACGGAGCAGGTGGATAACTAAAATATTTCAGCTGAAGAGTTTCGCTTGCATTCAGTGGTCGTTTTGGATCGAGTTGCATAATTCTTTCTAATACATCAAGTTAATCTGTTCCAACCACTTCAAATATTTTCAATAAGTGATCAAGATCAAAACCACTAAGTAATAATACTACTCGAAGTAGCAATTCGATCATAATTAAACCAGCTGCCCATATATCGACAGCAGTACCATATTTTCTTGCACCCAAAAGTAATTCAGGTGATCGATACCATCTTGTAACAACTTTATGAGGCATAACTCTTGATGGTAAACCGATAAAGTTCGCTAACCGAAAATTGGCTATTCTTAAAACACTATGTTTATCAATTAATGAATTGTTTGGTTTTAAATCTCAATGAAGTATCTAATTATTAAGAAGATATTCAATGCCAAGCAATAATATAATAATAGTATGATTTCGCATGTGCTGTTGTCAACAGAATATTTCTATTATTAATAATATTTTCAAGATCAGTATTCATAAATTCAAATACTAAACAAATTCTTGGACTATTTGAAACATATTCTCCAAATGAATCGAATAATTCGGTAACATTTGGATGTTTGACTTCTTGAAGAAATTTAATTTCTCTTAAAGCAGTTAAATTAATTCCATCATATGCTACTTATCGACTACCGATTTTAATCTTTTTCACTGCGACATTGTCATTTGTTTGTGCATCTTGCTTTATATACAACAACATAGTTTCTTTCACCAACTACTTCAATTACAAAGATCAAGTTCTCATAAAAAAATCTCATGCTAATGATTAACTTGTTCGATTCAACTATTTAAAACTTATGTCTATGAAACTTCTTGGAATAGAAATTGATAAAAAGAAATGAACTTGCTCAAAATATATACAGTCAATTTTTCATTAAATCGAGTATTTAGTGAATGTTTTATATTAATATTATTAATTGTTCAAAGTTCGATACCTGCAAAAACTGTCAATCAGCGTATGTGTATTACTTTTGTTGATGACTTATTTTTATCAAATAGTCGACTAAAACTACAAAAAGCTTCTAAGAGAATTAAAGAAAATAATGAAAATATTCCTGAACAAGACTATAGAATCTTTCAGCTTGAGTGCTATTGACAATGCCATGATGTGTATAGAAAAAATAACAAAGCGAAGCATTTTATTAGGAATCTGCACCATATAGATAAGGAGTGTGAATTGTTTTGATTCATCACCCACACCCATTCGCTATTGATTTCTTACATGAAGCAAATCATTGGTTATAGTTTTATCACTATTTTTGGAAGCAGTTTTTTAAGCAACTGGAGCACATACGGTAGGCGTAGCTACCACTTGAGAACAGGTCCCAGAGGTGTTTAAACGAGAAACGAGCGTGTTCGGCAAGGATAGAGAACGCGTAAGAAACGGCGGAAACTGTGGAACAGCGTGCCATGCTTCCCCATTCTCAAACGATCTCATTGACATTGAATGTTTTGCATAACAATGATTCGGAAAAAAGTGCATGACAATAAACATACAGCAGAAACAAGTAGCTGCAAGTTCAAAAAAACTACTTATGTGCGAATACACCAAGTCCAATTTCACATAATAAAGCCATTCAGTTGCTACTGATGCTGTGACAGTACTAACAAATAAATATAAACAGATTTTGATCCACACAGAACGAAGTTTAGAATACGATTCATAGAAAAATTCAAATAGAATAAAAAATCCAATATTAGCTGACGTTGTTCGAACAATTTTATCACTAAAAAATATCGGCACTAATGTAGCTAAAATTGCTTCCAAACGTGAGAGAAAACTAAAAAAATGCCTCTGGCGCACTTTGATATGTAATCTAACGTTATAATTCGGATTTAAATACTGAAGTGCACTTTTACAACAGCAACAATATTTCTCGTATGAGTTGCAAAGAGCCATCATTTTACACATCCATAATGCCAGAATGAAGACAAAGTCTAACAAAATATATCCGATATATCTAAACTGTTGTAATCGATTTTTTTGTCGAAGATAATAGAAGATATACAGAGCGTCGCCAGTTGTTACCATAGCCCAAATAATAAACTGATAGAGTGTTAGTAACCATTTGGAATTAATTGTCACGGAGTATTGTAAAAAATAAAATATAAACAAAACCGAAGAAAGAAGACCACCGGTTTTATTGTTTGACATGACAAGTGTGGCAGCATCATAGACATAACCACCAAGTGCAATTAATGGCACGGTAAGCAGTAAATAGTAGAAAAATTGATCATCATCGTCATCTGGTTCGATAGACACTATTGATGGTTCCGATGCTACAGTCGATGCACGGTCTCTGACTGAGATTTTTGAGACAACTCTACATTCGGAAAACATAAGAAAATACGGCCTAACAATTGTGTTACAAATATTATTTTTTGCATCTGAAGCACACAAAGATTTAGCAGCGTATTCCTTATACTTGAAACACGTATGGTTGCACATACTCACCTCTTACTTGCACTCATATAAAGTGATGAAGATATTTCGGAGTTTAGAGCAACTTTATCTGTATTGAATAGCGTCAAACAATGTATGCTTGGCTTACAAAGTACAGAATGATATGTATTCGTTTCAAAGAACCTATAAATGGATAAGTAAAAACAAATATTTTCGAGTGATGAAATTGAACATGAATAACTGAAAGAAAATCGCCATGGAAAAAGAACTAACGAAATCAAATTCATTCTACTTGTATCGGTTGCAGTCATGCAAAAATATCGAAGAATGCACACAATTTTATGATAAATAAAGTAGCTTGAGAGTGTGAGTATGTGTGTATATTGCTGAAGAGAAAAATGCCCCCACCCTCCCTCAGAAGCCCACAGAAACACGCACATACACGCCTATTCTAATGTTTTGCGACTTGTTCTTGGTACATAGTCGATTACAGCTCATATTTATGCCACATATACTATGTGATATAATTCTAAGATGCAGCATACAATAAGTATTTCGCTGTTCGAATTAGTTTAAGAGTGTGTAAATTATACGAAGGTTACTGATGAAATTATGTTGGCAATCGGGTCAATCAGTACCAAAGTAATTACAGCTTTGCAAAAATTTAGAGAGTGAACACATTGGACAATTTTTGTAAAAAGTTTCG